AAGGTTTCAGTACACCTCATTTTGTCAGGTATAGGGTTTGGAGGTCTAGGGGTCCAGAAATTTAGGCTTCGGATTGAGGGTGGAGTATCAGAGGGTCCGGCCTCGTTCGGCTTTCGGGGCTTTTAGGGGTAGTTTGGGGTTCAGGGTGTGAGTTGGGTTCAAGCGAACGTTTAATTAAGCCCCAACGCCGAAAAGCATCTGCCGTTGCTAACCGTTTAACCGGGTGACTCTGGTGTCGATGTTGGCGATCACGTTCAGGATTGAGATGGTACTGATAGGGTTCAGGTCTTAGGGTTTGGGATTTGGGGCTACGCGTATGACGACCACCATGATTGCGCTAATGTTGTAAGTGAGATACTAATGCAGAGCAGTGATGCTGATGTTGTCATTGTTGTTGTGGCGCTGTTGACGATCATGAGCTGTGTTTGATCATTGAAGCACGCTGTGATGAAGATGGGATGGGGACCACGGCGAAGAAGATGAGGATAACCTGATGACAAAGAAGATGGCCATTTGTAAAAACACACGACAACTTCGTTTGATTATGACGTTGAGTGAGTTGAACAGCATCGGGATGATGCCGATGCTGCTGATGACTTTGAAGCAGAAGAAGATGATGACGATGCTGGTGCTGATGCTGGTGCTGATGCTGATGATGATGATGATGATGGTACCGATGCTGGCTATGAAGATGTTCATGTGGATGATGATGCGGCAGGGATGAAGATGGTTGTTTCTGAAACGACAGTTCCCCAGGAGTCTCAGCTGCGCTATGGCATCGGATACGTGGAGGTGCCCCGCCGCAGGGCCGGGTTGGTAACTAAACCTGCTCTCAACCCAGCAGGTTGTCAGAGAAGTATAGACAGGCCCCGAAGCCCAGACAAACTTCCTAAGCCTAGATCCCCGAGGCCCCAAATCGAAACAAGACCCTCAAATTTAAAGGCCTCAAAGCAGCAAAACCCTTATACATCTCCGAATCCTGAACCCTTGAAATCCGAAGAGTGGGACGTTGATTTTCGCGAGGACCCGAAGTCGTAAACCCCCAGACTCCTATCGAATCCGAAGCTTTGAGGCGTCTTTTGCCGGCGGATTCTTCCCCTTCCTTCCCTCCGTGGAGTACCATAACGAGATGGACTCTGTGGAGGTGGGGTGAGCCAGAGACGGATTGCAGGGGCTTTGTCCGGTCTCGTTTGAGGATTTTGCAGGGGTTCCTTTTGCTTTGAAGGATCGGGATATAAGGGCGGTCGGCTGGGTTCAGGGCGTTCTCGAAAGGAGTTAGGGTTTAGGGTTAAGTACTTGTGGTAAGAATAGCGGAATGTTTCTTTGTGATTGTACCGGACACTTACACTCATTATTTCAGCCCACTAGTCTCTTGTTAGGGTGTGGGACGACATCTAAACCCTAATCCCCAAACCCTAGTCCCTGAACCCTAATCCCTAAACCCCAAGAGATTTCCGGTTTCAGCGCTTAAAAGGCACCGCCATTGGGATTCTATGGCTTTGTGCTTTAAGGGATTATATCTGTTTCCTGGGATTTCGGGTTGTGCTGCTTTCAGGAATCTAGAGCAATGCTTTGGTTTTTTTTTGTATGTTTGGGGCTGTGCTTTTGGAGGTTCCCGATGGCGAGACGGGTCAAGTAGCGCGCCTTCTTCTAAACCCTAAACCCTAAACCTTGTAAGGGTTCGGACTCGTGAGTGCTTCAGAACTAACGAGACTAACGAGGGGGTACTCAGGGGTCGCTCATAGTCAAGTCACAGGCTGAGGCCGAGCCCATGTCCATAGCATTCCCAAAAAGGCATGGTGTTTGGAAGGTCTTCTGGTTGGTGCAAACATATGTCGGCGGGTTTAAGATGTGGAGATCGTTTGAAGGTGCTTCGTTGGGCGTTGCCTGACGGAGGGGGGTGGGGGTGCTAGACAACCTTTCACCGGGGTCCATAATGTGGGGTTTCATGACAGCTTAAACCATCCTAAACCCAAAGTCCTCAGCCTCAAACTGTCGCAAGACCCTGCTGAAGGGCTTGCAACGATAAGGGTCTGCGAGCTGAAGCGGGGGCTCTTGCAGAGCTGCACCTGCAGGTTAAGAAACTAGCTCGTGTCCGATGCAATATGGACCTTGAGCAGTTAGTAATGCTATCTGTTTACAAACCTCATATACTTCCACCAGAACACTCACACAGTCGAACCATATATCATTACTAAGACTCCTATATCCGGGTTTAGGGTTTGAAAGGCCGGTGCTCCAAGGTTCAGCGCTTTTGTTATTTTGTTTTTGTTGCAGCTTGGGTGACTGCATTCCATCTTCTACAATTCACGCATTTCCTTGCAGCTGTGTCTTCATGGGTAGTTCCGTACTATTGTCGGGACCGGAAAAGGCACCCTAATTTACAGAACTACCCTCATGGAAATGTTCGCTTCCGCCTTTGGGAGCTGTCATCAATCCAATCAGAGAATGTCCACACCGAACTAGGCGTATGAATTTCTGAACCTACAAGCTCTTAAAGTGTCTGAATCTCTCTCTCTTTCTCTCTGTTCCCTGAATCATAGAATATAACTGCTTCACCCTCAAAACTAACGAGGTTTTGGGGCTCCGGGTGGCGATACAAAAGGGTTGGACACCAGAAATAGTAATGAACCCCCGCTCGCGTATCCGAGACTTCGCTAGCAGTGTCTTACTTCATGGCCTTCAAGTGTGCCCTCCCCTCCGAAGCGCTTTAATTATCAAGGCCGTATAGTAACCCTTTCACCACTCCTTTAAGGGAGCCCTATAAAACCCTATTCTACTTGTGAAGGCCCCTATATGGCCCTACGTCTTAGGACATGGTTGGACGGCTTGTGCAAAGCTACCACAAGCGCCAGGCTCGAGCAGGGGGTTAAAACCCTACACCCCAAATTCTAAACCCGCCGTTTGGTGTTAGGGCCGTTAGGGTTTAGGCTTCAAGGCTAGGGTCCATCGCAGGACCGCAGGAACTAAAGCGGCCAACATGTTTACGGTTCCTTATGATGTGGTTGCTTAGGGCGGCAGCAGAGTCTGATTCTCTCGGCATAATGTGTATATATATATACACATATGCATACATATGTGTATATATATATATATGTTTATTTATTTATGTATATACATAGGTGTATGTGTATATATATATATAGACATCAGGAACTGTACATAGCTTTTGCAAGGTGGGCTTTTGGTGGGTTCAGGTCGCCTTTGCGGATGTCCGAGCTAGGGCCCAAACGGCCACAGAAACAAGGCGATCTCTCACAGTGCTTCCTAGGGGTTGGGTTTAGGGTTTCTGGGGTTTCTAGGGTTCCTTCTATCCCAGCCTGGTTTGTCCTTTAAGGGCCTTGTGAGCACGAAGCAAGCCCCAAACCCAAATACAGCAGCGCCATACGTCTTGTTGTTTCAGGCCATGTGAACACCCCATTCATTTCGGATGCTTATAAATATGTGTAAACATCACCGGCTACGGAGAGATCCTTGTTGGGCGGCCCTCCCCGCCGCTCCCTTCAGATCCGGGAGTACACAGGGCTTAAGTATTTACTGACACTGTTCCTTTATAGTAACTATGTACCGCTGCAACCCAACCCCTGTTCAATTGAGGCCTCCATACGGTCAACTGCCACACGACCAATCAGGGCACCCTCATCGATCTAAAGTGGTTTAGATAGTCAAATGACAGTGCAGAACCACGGTTAACGCACTCTGGTCTGTTGCTGTAGTTGAGTTGCACACCTTCAAGATCCAACCGCTGAACATCGAATCCCTAAGATTATCATCTTCAGAAGAATTGTGGGCCCTTAACCCCCCGAAAGACATCAACTGGGTATTTGTCCAGGGATTTAATTTAATATGCCAGAAAAAGGAAACCCTATTATTGAGTATAGTTCCCTATCATATTAATGTAAAGTAAGTCCCCTTAACAAGAGCCCTAAACCCTAAATCCCTAAACCCGGTGAATTCTTCCGACGCCTCGACGAGAACTCTGAAGCTCTGCACGCCAAAGCCCACAACGAGAGCCTTCAGAACCGGGCAAACTGGACCCTGAAGGACCCTAAACCCTAAACCCTCGAGTGCCAAAGCAATCCAGAGTGGTTTAGTGAAGCTTAGTGTTTCGGGGCTATTGGGTTTAGGGCTTTAGGGTCTATAGGGTTTAGATGGGTTTAGAGTAGGGTTGCGAATGTAGGGATGAGAACCGAGGCCCAAGCCCACAACCCTCACTAAGTCAATAAGCCCTATATCTTGAGCCGGAGCGAAGCAAGATCCGAGACGTTTGCCCAAAGCCTAGCTGTTTACCAATTTCCATTACTTCTGGCTCTTGAATGCTACTATGCTACTATTTCTCATTACCAAGACCCCTATATTCTGAGGACTATGCATTAGCTTGCTGCCGGTATCCAGCCACAGTATGATGACCACCTAGTAGCCTGCTTGTTTGCAGCTTCCCAACTTTTACCTCACTATCGACTTTTGTCGGGACCCTGCCAAAACTGGTTGGTTCTGGTAAAACTCTTGTAAATTGCGCGTTCAGTTCAGTTCCCCTGATAAACTCCCAACAGACGACCGTGGTGGGTTGTCAACATGGCAAAGAATCCGTAACAAATCCCATATAAATCCGCAAGGGACCTTGTTTACGGCAGGGTTTAGGCAGGCAACTTCGCTTCCTTACCAACCCCAACCCTACAGCAGTGTCGATGCTCGGTTCTAGGTAGATTCTAGGTAGTAGCACAGGCAGCCTTGAACTTTTGGGGGTGTTATATCCCCTCTACTAGATTTCCCAAAGCTTAACCTTAAAGTGAACAGTGAACCGCAGAAAGTTAGAGCATGGTTTAAGGATGATCAGTGCTCGGCTTCCTTGTACTTCACTTTAAAGGCACCAGGAAAAGGATGTTCCAACTTTTCGGCTTTTAAACTTAAGTTGCGCTCTAGGAGACGACTTTCCCTAAACCCTAAACCCTGAGCCCTAATCTTCCCTTGGGGAAGCTGCTTGGGTCAGGCTGCGGAAGATCCGCAGCTCCGTGTGGAGGTGATACCGCAGGCAAGATTTGGATTTAGAGTTTAGAGTTTAGGGTTCAGAGTTTAGGGCTTATAGGGTTTATAGGGTTTATAAGGTTTACAGGGCTTATAGGGTTTATAGGGTTTAGGGTTAGGGTTTGGAGCTTCAGGTTTAGTTTAGGGTGTAGGGTCCTATAGGGCTCAGGGAGCTCAGGGGGTCGAGAGTTTCAGGGTTCAGGTCTTTGAAGTGTGGTCTTACAGGACCGCCAAGACAGATTCAGAATGTAGGGTTCGGGGGGGTTTCTGAGGGCAGATAAGATTTGGGGTGGTTTTCGGCTTGAGTTTCAGATGTAGGATTTGGCAGAGGTTACGCCGGTTACGCAATGGGATCACACATGATAACATGCTTGGGGCTTAGGACTCGTCCCTTTCACGGCAAAGCAGGAATCTCTGAATCGAAGTACTCAGAGACAAAACTTCTAGACTCACGCCTCGAACCTTGCGCCTTCGCTTTAAGCCGACAGTCAGTGGGCAATCTGGCGAAGATCTGATGTTGTGTTTTCTCGGTCTCGCTGGGTGCGCTGGCTGCTGGTCAAGAAAGGGGCCAAAAAATTCCTTAGGGTTCCTTATCATACGTAATAATACTAAGCTTGACCCAAAGCCCTGTTGATTGGGGGTATTAGTATTATTGCCTCTGCATTATTCCGGCTCTAGGGTTGTGGACGAAGAGCTCGTGAAGCACTGCATTCAAATCCGTCGCTCTGCAGGAGTCCGAGGCGAGTCTCTTCAGTGGCGTGAAGACGACACAGGCAACCGTACCTCAGGGGTCCAGGTCTTCTGAAATATTTTGTAACTTAGTATGCGCACTTCAACACCTTGAATCCGAAGAGCTTTAAGGCCAAAGTAAAAAAGCTACGGAGGAGCATTGAAGCCTTCGAGCTAGCTTGTGGACTGCAAGCATAAGAAGGGCAGCCCCGTCTGGTTCAAGCCCATGTGGGTTTAAAGATGCTCGCTTTTTCAATAATTAGGAGTTCCGTCACCACCGTTCTGTTTGGGCATGTGGCTTGGGATGGGCTGGATTTACCTTTGGATACGTGTGTGTGTGTACCTTATACCTATCGATCTTGTCATCTCTCGGTCTATCTAACTCTTTATCTACAGGAAGTCGCTACATACATACATATATATATATATGTCTGACGAACCATGTATCTATCAATGCATCAGTCTATCTGTCCGTCTGTGTAACTGCCTATCTACCTGTGCATCTGCCTGTGTATCTAGCAGTTTACTGTATCTATCTGAATCTGTCTGTATATCTACCAGTCCGTCTGTCTTTCTGTCGATCCCTCTATCTATCTATCTATCTATCTACCTATCTAGCTGTCTGTCTATCTGTGCTTAGCATGCTTTGTCTGAACTTTCCGTTTGTTCATTCACTTACATGCGGCAGTAGTCCAACTTGCTACAAAGGCCCTTTACTGAAAGCACCAATGGGATACGTGCAGATCAAGTTAGGGTTTGGGATTGCTGAGGCTTCAGGAATCAGGCTTTTGGCTTGGAGAAGGCTGGGTGTTCAGAGCTTCCTGGTTTTAGCCGGCTTCAAAGTTTCTGATGTACAGGCACAAGGGTAAGGTAAGCAACATATCAAGCTTAAGAAGCACAGGAGTGAGATTTCATACACGAGCTTTGCCACAACTGCGCCTCCGGGCACCTCTGCAAGTAGAGTTCCCGCTGACGAAGTCGTGGATTCTCCTGTGACGGACCCACTACTTTGGACTTGCAGGAGGCTTTAGAACAACAAGGCCTATAGCCTAACGCCTATAAACCTAAGCCCTAAACCTAAAGCCCTAAACCCTAAAACCCTAAAGCCCTCAAACCCTCAAGCTCTAAACCCAAACCCAACCTCGAGCCGAGCCGCATGATGTTCCACTGCAACCCAGCCTCTGCCTTCAGGCTTTAGCCATAAACCCCCAAAAGGTTTAGGGTTTAGGGTTCCCCCCAAAACCCCCCCCCCCCTCCAACCGGTAGAACCGCATAAAGCCTGCGTAGAAGCTCCAAGGAAGCGCTGGACATGATCCCTGTACACCTCTCCCTAAGACTCCAACTAGTTCAGATAATGTACTGCCTGGACATTCCTCCTACCTTTAAAAACTGGGTTCATCTGGTCCCTTACAAGTAAATAGGTACACTTGAGCATGCGTAGCAAATTGTAGATATTGCGCGCTTTCGACCATTGACACCGCCATGAAGAGCGCGCATGAAACTTGTATACAGAAACCCTAAACCCTAAATCCTGTAATACATCATGGAGCAACGGGTCCGAGCCGAGTTTGCAGCCATATTGCCTTGATCCCTGCAGGTGTTTGTCTCCTTCCCCGAAGGCCTTCTTTGCGTTTGGGGCTGTGGTGCTGCAACGAACCCTAAGCCCCAACCCCTAAACCCCTAAAGCCCTAAACCCTAAAAGCCCCTAAACCCTGACTTAGGGCTTTCGGGTTGTCGGGTTTCGGAAATCCCATATAACCCTGCAGCTGTGGGGTGATTTAGTGGGGCCCTTCTTTTGGGCGCTTAGGGCTTGCGATGCTTTAGGGACCTTTTTGTTGGGGGGTTCAGGGGGTTGGGATGCTTTAGGATTTGGGGAGGGTCGTGGGGTTCAGAGTTTTGGGGAGGTTTCAGGGACTCAGATCTCTAGAAATTTAGGGTTTGGGGCCTAAGAAGGTTTACGGGAAGTTTAGGGTTGGGGATTTTGCGGCTTTTAGGCTTCTGGGCATGAGATTTCAAGACTGCCTTCGGGTTCTCAAAAAGGGTTTAGGGTTTTGGGTCTACCCGGAGGTTCCATGGTAGTTCCTTTTTGGGGGATTACTTTATCGGATCCCAAATATAAGCCACAAAAAGGAACTGCTATGGAGCCTATGGGTAGGGCTGTAGGGCTCTATTCTCTTCTAGGGGGCAGACAGTCGCAAGGCTTCGGGCTTCAGGGTTTAGGTTTAGGGTTTGGGGCTTTACGCATTTCGGGCCTAAGTTTAGGGTTTTTGGGTTTGGGGCTTCAGGGGTTTATAGGGCCCAAGTTTAGAGTTTAGGGTTTGGGGGCTTTATGGGTTCTTGGCCTAGGTTTAGGGTTTGGGGCTTTAGGGGTTTAGGGCCTAGATTTAGGGTTTGGGGCTTTAGGTGTTCAGCGGCGAAATTTAGGGTTTAGGGTTGCAGGCTTTAGCGGTTTTGGGAGCTAGTAACTACTGGTAGCATTGCCCTCCACCCTGAACTGCTGCTCTTTGCTACTTGGAGGTGGAGATCAGGTAGCAAGCACAGGGGCTCCCTGTCATCATTCAAGCAAGGCTTGCATTCATTAGCAAACATGTGTTATATATATATATAGATATAGATAGATAGACAGAACACTAGATAGATAGATAGACAGACAGATAGCTAGATCGATAGGTAGGTAGATAGGTTGGTTGCTAGATTGATTGTGGGTTTAGGGCTTGGAGGTTTGCGGGCCGAGGGCTTTCAGGCTGTTTTCCGTTCTCACGGTGTAGGAACTAACGCTTGGGGCTTGTAAGAGTGTGCGTTCGTTTAAACTCGGTTTGGGGCTAGGGTTTGGTTCCGCATGTGCTCGTTTTTTTTTTTGACCCGGGCCCTTCAAGCATCATTCGAGTTTAAGCTTGCATTTAGCAAACCCTGCACCTCTAACACTAACCTCCTCAACGCTGAAGTCCTAACGCCCCAAGACAACCTCAAGAAAAGGTGAGATCGTGCGGCAGCCTCAACAAGAACCGTGCAGTAGCTTGCGGTCCACGCAGCTGGTCGGAGGTAAGAGGACATGGCTTTCCCATGCGGCAAGACTTACAACTGGGTTCTTGTTAAGGGATTTAATTTAAGTTACAATAATCGGGATCTATAGTAAATAATATGGTTTCCTTATTATGGTAACTTAAATTGAACCCCTTAACAAGAACCCAGACAAGGGTGACCCCTGGCCTCCATGAAAGCGACCTCGGAGTTCCGCTACGTGGCCGTCGGGACGAGATACTGGACAGCTTGCCGCGTGTGGATGCTCTGAAGTTGGCGAGGCTCACCACTGTTTCTGGACAACCAACCCAAAGGGTCCAAGTAATAGTATAGTATATACTTTGGGGCCCAAATACCTGCTAAGTAGCTACTATAATGGTACTTGGACCCTTTGGGCAAGAAGGCTCTAAGGATAGTCTCCCTTTGCTTGCACCAGGCCGATCTAGTCCTACGCCCCAAAGCCTGTACACTGCTTGGGAAGCTTCAGCTCTGGCCTCGCCATTGCTGACTTCGTAATTGCTGCAGGCGGAGTTAGTTTGGCCTGGTGGGAGTATTTCGACGGTGAACCTTAAAATAAAACCCTCAGCCCGAAAGCGTTATGTTTAAGCCTCTTCGGTACTGTCTCGTGTGTTTGCTGTTTTGATTTATGTGGTGCATCCTTTAGATTGGCATATCCCAGAATTGTTTTCTTGTTGAGTACCGGAGTAGAATCATAGTAGGTCCTTTAGAAAGGCTTTTCGTATCCCTTGCAGACAGCGTTCTAGCAACCTGAATTGAATCTCGCCGTTTTGTTACCCTTGTAGAATCCCAGAAACCCTTACTGTAACCTTCGAACATGTTGGAACTGAGAGGCGAGAATGTGGGATACATCGCCGAAAGTGCCGTCGTGGAAAGATTACGGACGCCCATGCGAAACAGCTTGGAGGCAGGCGCTCGACCCTCTAGGATTTAGCGCTTAAGGCTGAGGGTTTAGGGAGGCTTGCAAGATCTTCGAGAGTTGCTTGCACATGTGTGGCTACAAGCTTGCAAGTCTGTGCTTGTGGTTGTTGGTCTCTATGTGCGTGCGCTTGTGTCTCGTAGCGTTCTTATAGCAAACCTATATATAAGTCTGTCTGCAATTGGCTTTCTAGACTTCCAGGGGGTTGTAGTTAGCATGAGTCTGCGGCTGTGGAGTCGTTGGGTCTGGAAAGTGCACCTCTCTATCACTTGGCGTCAGGGCTCTCGGGTTACCAAGATCTTCCACCACTTGGAACTTGGAACCTTGCGAACCCGAAACCCTTGGCCCAAAGCCCTTCAAACCCGAAACCCTAGACCCTAAGAGCCCGAACCCTTGCACCTGAACCCTATAAGTCCAACTCCCTAGTCATGACGAATGAGTCATAATCTTCCTCCCCAAATATGTTATAGTCTCCTATCTATACATCTATACATATATACATATATACATATATATATATATATACATATATACATATATATATATACACATACTATGCTTGACCACCCAAATTTTTGTGAAAATTATTTTCCGGCCCTTACATTATTCTCTCTTCAATCCCAACGTCCTCCAGCCTCGAAGCTTTTCAAGGCCCTCGTGTTCATCCATGGCTTCAACTGCGAAGCTTGCCTGCCCTCGTTTTTTTCGCTCGTAGGATTGAGTGGTTTTGGAGCGTACGGTTCTGGAGTTGAGGGAGTGTAAGGCTCGGGAGTCAAAGTGTAGGGGTTTAGGGGTGTAGGGTTTCGGGTGAAGGATTTCCGGGTTTTTGGGCTGCTGGGTGCATGTGTACTTATCATGCTTTGCAACCTTTGCCGCGCCTTGGTTCGGGCTTGTAGGGTTTAGGGTTTCGGATTCTAGGGCTTAGGGTTTAGAAGCGTTTCGGGTCTCGGGTTTCGGATTTCGGGCTTTTTTAATTTTTTTGGACTTCCCAGGGATTATAAGCTGTGATGCTCTGAGACCTTGGCCCTTGGACTCACCAGCTCTCGCTAAGACCTGGGGGAAGTTTCAAAGAAGGATCCCGAAGCCGACTCTAACCCCCTACGCTAAGTAACTAAGTAACAAACAAGCAAACTAACTAACGAACGAACGAACTATCTAGCTAACTAAGTAACTAATAACTAACTAACTAACTAACTGACTGACTGACTAACTAACTAACTAACTAACTAAGTTAACTAACTAACCAACGAACACACACACACACAACCTCTGAACTAACTAAGCCCTGAACTTCGTAACTAAACCCCTAAGCACCCTAAACCAAAGCTTGAAACCCTAATCCGCTACACCTCTCTGATGTCAGACGACGAAGGACTTAGCCACAGCTATGGGTCGAATTGCCACCTGTCTTTGAGAGTTCTGTGAAGATTCCTCCAGGGCTTTTTGAAGGTCTTGTGAAAGTTCTTCAGCGTTTTGTAGTTGGTTTAGGGTTTAGGAGTTTAGGGGGTTTAGGGTTTTGGGGTTCAGGGTTTAATTTTTAGGGTGGAGGTTTTAGGGTGGTTCCCTCAACGGTCCAGCTACCTCTTTCAACGCACGACCCACTATGGACAGGGCCAAAAAAGCACCACCCTCTGTCTTGTACCGAAGCACCCTCAGGCCTAGACGTTAAACCCCAAACTCCACTTTTTATGAGCCCTAAAACAACACCCTAAAACTCGAAGCCCCTTCAACACCCGCAGCCCAGAAACCCCCCTCCAACAAAAAGAGCTTGAACCCCACCCTTCTAGGGTCTGAAGGTTTCGGAGCCTTCGGCTAGGGTTCCAGGGGTTTGGGGGTTTTAAGGGTTCAGGGGTTTAGGGGTCCAGGGGTTTAGGGGTTCAGGGGTTTAGGGCTTAGGGGTCTAGGGTTAGGGCCAGGGGTCGGACAAAATGTCAGTGTTCGGGGGTTTGTGCTTTGTGCAGGGGGTTTTCAGCCCTCATGTAAGCAATTCCTTTGCATCCTGCCTAAATTGTTTGTGTACTCATGCAGCCCTTGCTGTCCCTGCAGCTGTGGTTTGAACCTCAAACTGAAGCGACGCAACCATGGTAAAGCCATGAGCACTTTGACCCAACAGCTATCGAAGCCTGAATGGTATAGCTTAGAACTCGTACTTTGAGCCCAAACGTCGGGTTGAGGAGATCAAGGTCGTTAGCCCGAAACCCTGAACACTTTGATGAGATCAAAGTCCGAAGCAAATTGCGCGCCCAAACCAAAGCTCTACGGGCCAGCAACAGACACAGGACTTCTTAGATCTTGAAACCGTATCCCGGTAGCCCAATCCACCGTCTAACCTTGTGATTGAATGTACTAGCATGTGAACGATGTGCGCGACTCTAAACCCTAAACCCTATAAACCTTAAACCCTAAGAGCGACAAGCCTCGGAACAAGCAAACAGAGGGGCTGTGAGGCTTTGGGTCAATCCGTTCCGTCCTCCCTGGATCCCGACATTGCGAGCCCAAAGAAGGTTTAGGGCTCAGGGCCTATATGGATAGTCCCCTAAATTAGGGTCCTTTTGCGGGTCCTCCTTATAAGGGTGCCGTACTATACTTGGGACATAAAGGGGACCCTAGTCTAGAGAGCTACCCATATTATGTAACCATCCCCTTAAATCCTAAATCGTTGTCTCTGGTCTATACAGCATCAACTGGAAACCCTCTTCTTGAAGCCCTTTGACCCTTTCTTAAGGCTCCATGTACCCGAACAGTATATACCTTGGCCTTAGAGCCTTAGAGTAGCCTCTCTGTAAGTACTTTGCGGCCTAAGTACACAATTGGAACATAGGTGCGTACACAGTTACCAATACTATTGTAGGGCTTCTTCTTATACTGATTAATTACAGGAGAATATACCTCAGAGTATAAGGCCTCTATACATTACATGGACCCTTAGGGCTTGCTTATCCCAGGCCCAAACCTTTTCTCTGGGCAACATGGCTCCGCACATCGTACCCTTTGTCTTCAGCTACTCAGGAGGCGAGGATTTATAGGGTTGGCACCTTCAATCACTGTACAAGACCGGGACTCCTAACCCATAAACCCACAGATGTTCCACCGGGGTTTAGGGTTTATTGTTTAGGGGTTTAGAGTTTAGGGTTTAAGCGTTTAGGGTGGATATTGGAGGTGCGTGGCGTCGTGCCTCCGCAGGTTTGTAATGTCCACCGGAGCTTGGTTGTCACAAATCAAGAAGCCATGGTCATGTAGGCTTCTCAAGAGGATTCTGGATGCCGTATTGAATTGGGGGGCCACATATCACAGGAAGGATCCGTATCTGTTGAAGCCTCCTAAATAAAGACGCAGGCCACCATATTATCATTACTATTATTATTGTTATTGTTATTATTTATTCTGCTGTCGGAAGCCACAGGAGCAGGCGGTCTATTGAGCAGGGCTGAGGGCGGAGTTTTGGCAGTTTGCATGTTGCGGTGTGGAAGTTAAGTGGGGCTCAAACTTTTCGGGCGTCAAGTTGAATCAGGGTTGAGCTAGCTCGGGTAGGCGTGTTGCTCTTTCGGGGTTTCGGTTGCGGCTCAATTCTCAGCACTAACAGCAAATGCATACTCACCTCATGTGGACACCGAGACTCCCGTCACAGCAAGCATCTTCTTTTCGGCCGTCGTACGAAGTCGAGTCTAGTTGCAATCAGCCATGTCAGATTCAATCTTGTTGACAGCCCGCTCCCAATATAACCCAATGCTCTAGTCAAGTCGCTATAGCCATTGTAAGCAATAGTCTTCCGCAATAATCCGGGGACTTGCCACTTAAATTCGACATGGTTAAAGGACCAAGAAATCCCCGCAGATCTTGTCCAGCGGTTCAAGCCCTTGGCCAAGCTTGACGCCGCCCTACACTCTACACCCTAAACCTTCATTCTGGGCGCAGGCACGGAACTGTCCTATTTCCAGGCCAAGGCGCATTTCAAGGACACGAACCCATAAACTAGGACAATAGGGAATAGCGAGATAAGAAGAAATAAAACTTGATGTAGAAGTCTGACAATTTTTTGAGAGTATTCCCTAATAGCCCCTCTTTTTACAATACTCATCACCAAACCCGCATTCTAATCATTAGGAACCTACACTACGGTACTCGGCTCCGAGTTCGTCTTCGGTTTCTTGCCGGAAGAGGACCCTAATGTTTCGGTAAACCCTAAAATGCCGAGTTTGGCTTCTTCGACGAATATCTTCGACCCGTAAACTTCACATCCCAGAGGCTTCAAGGATACTTTTCGGGACTTGAGACTAGTTGCGACTCACGACTGGGTTTGAATTTTCATGACGACTTTGCACTCGAAGCTCTGGTAAAGCATTACAATTTCTAGGGGTCAGGGTCTAGATTTACATCGAGCCTGGGTCTGAAATCTCAAGCTCCAAAGCAAGGTAATCTGAAGTTTCAGTCTAAGGACCAAAAAATCACAGACACAATGTACGCAGCCTGCGCATAGAAAGAACCTCAGATTAGAATGGCTCATAAATACAGGGGCGGTTGAACAAGGTGCCCATCACCAAGCCCCGTAATGAATCTGTGTTTCAAGTTTATGTGGTACACAGAGCCTGATAAATTTGAACATACTTGTGCAACACTGCAAAGCCCTTTTATTCAGAAAACTCCCCACGTGGAAATCCAGACCTGTGGCCATACGACCGAAAAAGCCCCCTCCACTCCATAAAAGCCCAACACCCAGGATCCACATTGAAACTACTCAACAAAGAAACTGCCGAGTAGTGCATAGTTTAGCATCCGTCTAATCCCTTTGGCGCATCTTCATTGTGTGCTGCCTCAGCAGCAGCGGCGGACAATTTAATTGAGCGTGAGGCCATATGAATCTCTGCGAATCTTCGGAAGAAGATTCTGGAACTTCTCACGGCAGCAAGCCATCAAACCCCCGTAGAGCCGTTAAGGATCCGTAGAAGACCCATAAATACCATTGACAATATCAGTTCCATACTGAAGCCACACATGCACACACACACAATCACACACACACACGCACACACACACACACAAACTACGAACCCCGCCTTAGAACAAAATTCAGATATGGATACATGTGTGTGTACACCCACACATATATATATATAGAGAAAGATAGATATGGTGACAGGAGAAAATCTCTGACTTTCTGATGCGCCGTCAAGGCAGCGCTGCAGTCACCTAAAATGGGCCTACAAGCGAGCACGATTCCTGCAAAATCCACAATCCATTATTTCCGTGGAGATGCCAGGACCATCTTTGGAATTTTGGATTCATGGATTTTTTTATTTTATGCTTTCTACTGGAAATCAAAAAATCCAAATTTCTAAAAATCCATAGATCCAAAAACCCAAAATTGTTTTTGGAGGTGTGCAAACATTAGGTTTTGCAATTGTTGGATTTTCGAGGAATTGTGCTTTCTGTGGCTGCGCATGCTTCCCACGAGGCTCCGCTTGCGCACCGGGGTCGGCATCGGTCTCGCGGATGTTTAGCCCATGATACCGATGTTTTGCCTAGATATCTAGTATGTCAGTATTATAGTGCCAAACAAAACTTCGTCGGATATTATTCGTGTACAGGGTATAAAGTTAGTCACATAACCCGAACAATGCTTTAAAACTTTAGTACTACACGGTTTTTCAGTCAAGTATATGGTCTAAGCAATATGTAAGAGGTACATAAACAGCACCTACTTGCAATTGAAACATGGCGAAAAGCCGTCACATGTATGCCTGCCATCTCTAGGACATGATTCGACTCCATTAGGCACCAGGGTCACTGCCACGCGCGAATCAATGGTGTTCGAAGGGAATACATGGCGAAAAAGAGCATGTTCTGATGCAAGCATGTTTGCGTTCCAGCGCTGGGAAAATCCTCTTTCCACGAACAGTAATAGCAGCAATCATGCATATGTGACATGGGTTCTCAGCATTTCCAACATTTGGTATTGACTATCATGTTTGCGTCCACCTCGTAGAACACAGGCGTAGCCTGGCCACACTAGCCAGAGTGACAGTAGTAACATAAACGGCACTTGCCCTCATCGACGTGTGCATCGCTTTGGCATATGGAATCACGGTCAATTCATATTGCACCAGAAAAGAAAGACAACCAAGTCAGACACGCGATAATACAGGCATTGCGGGCGTCAAGGTGAATGGTCATACCAATGCACCTTGGTTGTGATATGACAAGTCTAACCCTCTCTGCCCAAGACACGGTGGAAACTACACGGTCTAATGTCTGTGCAGAATTCGGCGTGTCATGGGAGAGGGGTGTGAGCTGCATCGCGAATCTGCAGAACCCCGCCCTCCCCTGCATATTGCTCACGCATTTCAATCATGGCTGTGGTGTGTTTTTCCCTCAAACAGACGGAATGGTGGGCACATGAGGGGCGGAGGGAGCATGCATATATATATATATGTATATATACATACATACATACACACACACATCATGTGCATATATGTACATATAATATATGTACACAAATCCCTGCAGAACCCATAAAAATCTCCACGAGGCCTTACAAGACCTTCAACAACTTCATACATCACCCAAACCATGACACCTAAACACTAACAGACCCCCAAATACCCTTGCAACTTACGTAGAAACCGGATGCCCTAAAGATCCCTACAATACTTCGCTCATAAGTGCAAGCAACACTAAATTCTAAACCCCTTTACTCTTAGTAGCATGGGAGCCATGAAGTCTCGCTCCGCTTTTCAGCAGAAGGCGATACGGGAACCCTCAACCAACCCCATTAACAATCCTAGTTAGAGCATGTAAGGAAGCCTAAGCCAAGTCTACGTAAAACCCTAAGCCCCGAAATCTCAAGGCATAGGCCACCCACCTACGGTGGGTGGGCGGCACGTGGGTTGGGAGAGAAAGAAGGAAATGCTTTCAATAGCCGCAACCCTGAACCCTGAAGCCCCAAACCTGCTTTCAACCCTCAAGGACTATGGGTCCGAACTTGCTGAGTTTCTCCGAAGCCTCCGGGGGCACTTCAGCGAGGCGCGGGAAGTGCAGATAAAAGAGTCGTCATAGATGAGAATGATGAAGAAGCACATCCACATAGATACAAAAACGTATATCTGTATGTGTGTTGTGTGTTGTGTGCAGTTACATGTATCCGCAGACATGCATACCTGCAGACATGCAAACATGCATGCATGCATGCATGCATGCATACATACAGACATACATACATACATGCATACATGCATACAGGTGGGTAGGTAGGTAGGTAGGTAGGTAGGTAGGTAGGTAGGTAGGTCGGATGGCAGGCAGGCAGGCAGGCAGGCAGGCAGGTAGGTATGTGTGTGAATATGTATGCATGTATGCACCTATAATTAAGTACAGAGTCTTTAAGTGTTTGTAATAGTAATACTGTAGTAAGCACTTGAGTAAACAAAACCATAAAAGATGAACACAGGTTAATTGTTCCTGTACTACTGTAGTAAGTATTTGAGTATTTTAATAAACAAACACATAAAAGATGAGGACCCTGATTAATGGTTCCATGCCGCCTACCAGGTGCACATCCTGACTCATTCCTGTGGAGCCGAGTATCGCGGTTGCTATTTGAGTCAGTCGCCTTTTTGTCCAGACGGGATAACGATTTTGGGGTCGGGGTAGTCAGCTTGAAGGTATGAGGCTTATGGCTTTGGGTTAGGGGTTGAGGGTTGTAGCTGAGCCCGGCACCCTTCTTGGATGACAGGATCCGATGAGCTTGAAGCTCGACCTAGATTCCGCGCTGGACATAGGGTTCTGAAGGTTTTGGGGATTGCTAATCGTCCGGGGACCTTCAGAAAATCGAGAGATATAGCTCCTCAGAAGGTTTCAGACTACTAGGACCAGGGCCCCGGTTCAGGGTGGTGATCGTGCAGTAAGAACTCTGGATGTTGGAGTTTACGTGCTGTGAGCAGACTTGACGCTTCGAACATGTGGTTGAACCCAACATGTGTCCCTCGCCCGGTTGTCAAGACTTTGGAACTGCTTGTTGTGAAGACTTCATTGCATATTCTAACACGTTCTGGGGTTTCGGGTTAAGGGTGGGCTTGCTCCGTGTATTGATGTATGCGCACTTCTTTGTTTTTCCAATCATGTACTGTTTGTTCATTTATGCATTTAGTTTCTTGCGCACACATACACGCACACAGAGAGAGACCCATGGCCGGCCGCACTAGACCGATAGCCGTAAGAAATGAGCTTGCAAGTTCTCGGCTGAAAGCATTTTTCATACGAGTGCCCTCGTCAAGACACCTGAGAGGGAAAACTGCAAATTACGAGATTACAGGTTGCACATTACTTCCGAAGCAGCACCCGCCCATGAAGCGTCCGGTGTGCAACCCCTCCGTTTGTCTTCAGGTTTCTCTTTACAAACTGGTCTTCCATTGCAGAGTGCTTCATGCCGTCGAGACGGAAGAGGCCAAGGGGTTATGGCTCCAATTTAGGTTTAGGGTTTAGGGTTGAGGGTTTAGGGTTTTAGGGTGTCTGCGGGGCCCACTGCGCGGGGCGGAAATATCCAAGAGCTCCTTGCAACTCCCCCACCAGAGGCTCGCCTAGGCCCCCCGAAGCCTTATAAACCTTATAACTCCACCGTGAACCCGTGTAAAGTCGTTAACGAGTTAAACCCTGAACAACAACAAAAAGACCCCAAGCTAAAAGGCCGAGAACCGATCTGCAGTCCCAGACCCTAAGGGGGTGAATCCCAAAAGGCCCGTTAACCTAGTGCACACCTGGAGCCACAGTGAGGAACCCTGGAGGTCCAAATGTTGCGCCCCTGGACATATGGGGTTTAGGGTTTAGGGTTTGCAATGCTTAGCGTTTTGGGTTTATAAGGTTTAGGGTTTAGGGTGATTAGTTAGGACTGCCTACAAGCCCGAGCCTTCAGACCCTGCAAGGTTTGCTTCTGGCCAACAACACCATTTCAGGCCCCTCATAGTGGGTATTTACTCTTATAGCATCAAAATAGCCCGAAAGCCTTATATTATAGTGTGTTGTCTAATGCTAGCCCTATAATTCAACCTCAAACCGGGAAGTTTCCAAAAAGGCCTGATGTGGCCTCCAGTCGCGGTGCCGCTGAGAACAACAACTCAACGAAACGGCCACGCTGGATTCCGAAGCATTCACGTGGCTAGCCCTGAAGCGTTTTGGGTAGTGCTACATGAAATCCTATACAAAAAAGAATAATTGTGTATTATATGTCATGTTTATATACATATTTTGTAACATCATCTGAGAGGTGGTTTCAAATTTCGGCTTTAGCAGGCGAATGGTCGGAGACCATTGGAGTTGAGTTCAGGGGCTGTATAGTGTGTTGACACGGGGGTGTTGTGGAATGCTGGACACCTACGGTTTAGGGTTGAGGGTTTAGTGTTGAGGGTTTAGGGTTTAGGGTTAGCTTGTAGGGTTTAGGGCTGTCGGGTCCATCTTTTTGTGTTTTAGATCACTTTCTACAAGGCCCTGGGGGGTGGGCGGGTTCAGGGAGCAGTTGGACTTTGTTTGCGCGGTTTTTGTTTATAGGTTTGCCTCATTTATCCCATAAACTCAACAGCCTAATCCCTTTAACATCCGTGCTTTGGGTTTAGGGCGTCGAGCGTGCATCGTACAGAATGTATAGGTACAGTATAGGACCTAGAACTACCAAGACTCAATGCAAAGTTGGTTCCCTCAACCCTTGAACCCCCAACAGAACCGCAAACAACATTTCCAAGTATACAATAGTAGTTACCTACTTTGGGGTCTATAGTCTATCAAGAGTACCTACTTTGGGCTCGTTGGAGTGTTAGGGGATATGAGCCCAGGGCACTTCGGGACGCAAGACGATCTGAGCCTGCACATGGCGACACTGACGATGCTCAATCCGGACGTAGAGCAGCACGGCTGGTGTCTTCTAAGGGTTTAGTTTAGGGCTTAGGGTTGAGACTTCCCCCAGCGGTGAGCTGCACACCATGGGGTTCCAATGTTGGGTGTGAAGGAAATCGCGCCGGTATCTATAAAATAAGCATGTTGCCCGTCCTCCTGCGTCGCCGGGGGTAGTGGAAAGCATCTTAACCCATCCTCCAGATTCCTCTGATTCCACCCGTATCTCGCCAGTATTCCGGAGAAATTCTCGGCCGTGTCCCCGTGGTCTCTTCGTTGGTCTCCTGGGATCTTAGAGTTCGAGGCAGTCGGTGAGTGTAATATAGTTGTTCGGTCGAAGCTGAGACCGCAGCATAGCTGGGTCCTAAAATCTTACACCTCCATCTGGTTACAACGCACCGCCCGAATGCAATCTGTCCTTCGGCTCTTGATGCGTCAGAAACAATAGGCCCCAAGGAGTGAGCCCTTGATAGCAGAACCCTTGTTACGAACTCCAAGTAAGGCAGCACTTGAGTTGTCAGAAATGTCACTGTTCGAGGTTCGGAGTGCTGCGGAGAGTCTCTGTTCAGGCACAGCCAGTCAGCTTGAAGGAGCCATTTTCTGACATTATGGCCCCTAGACCAAACCCTCATAGTGACCTCTCTGGTTCAACCATTTTCCACCCTGAAAGACCCTTTCAAAAAGGAATCCTTAAAGGAGCCCCGTTCCAATTATGGAATTTAGGCATCGAATGCGGCCGACGCCACCCATGCCGAGGCTAGACACCGTCAAAAGACTCCTCCCAGTGGCTTGACATCTTGGCACAAGGCCTCCATAAGCCTGACAGAGGCGACAGCCTAAGGTACTACCAGGTACGACCCAAGGACTGAACTTTCCAAGTTCCCCGCATGCGTTGACTATCCTTGAAAAAGAGACAGGCTATCGCTGTTGCTTCGGACTGACGGTTTGAGGATCTCTGATTCGCATCCCTTGGTCTTCCATGGTTTCTTTTTGCTTTTGGTTTGGAGGCGGGGGGGGGGGCGCTGCATGGCAGTGGGTCAGGACGTTCCTGCTTGCCCCGGGCTCGACAATGGTCCTCTCGTTCATGGGGGCTTAGCCGACTAGGCTTAGAACTCTCTATTTGCGCGACTAGAGACCCGGTATAAGGCCTAAATGAGCTGAGTTTGCAAACTTCAAGACTCTTGGACGGTAGCAGTTAGCAGCACACTGACCATTTTCGGAGTCCCCCCACCCTTCTCTGGGGCTCCGAACCGTGAAGGGGTCCTGTGCAGGGCAGCTCGAGGTTTCACCCCGAAACCCACAAGACCGAAGCACCCTACTCCTACTCTGCCTAGGACATCATGCATTCTGCGGAGCACTTCACGGCCTACAACGCCACCTGCATGCGCTTGAGTGCCATGGTGTAGTCTTTTGTGGATTGGCTAAGGCATGCATGATGACGATTAGCCAAACTGGCCCCCAACTACATGGTTCCAACTACATGCGCCGAGTGACTACTCAAGCTAGAAGTTGACTGCCCTGATGACTCTGACGTCCCTGGGTTGTGGCAGGAACGGAGCAAACATCCGTACATGGGCGATGCTTCAGTGATATGGAATTCTAGACAGCTCAATTCCACCACACAGCGACACTGATGATTGGAAACAAACAAGCTGCGATTCAAGGCTTCGGTATTATACTTGGAAACCCAAACATGGCTAGCAGCCTTTAAATAATCGCGTCAAGCATGGAGTTGCGCTTGTTAACTGTGCCTCGAGAACTTTCATGCCCACCTTGCAGCCACGAGCCTGGAACCTCGAAATCAGCGGTCGCGTGGAGAGGTTTAGGGTTTACGGTTCAGGGTTTAGCGGGGTTGCGGTTTAGCGTTTAGGGTTTAGGATTTAGGTTTACGGTTCGGTTTTACGGTTTAGGGTTCGGAGTGTTTACCCCTGCTGGGAATCTGATTTTCAAGAATCCCCTAGACCAAATTGGGAGGTCCCTTCCCCCCCACAACCCAACAAAAAGGAGCCTGCTGAACTTGAGCACCCCAAGTTTTTGATTGCTGTACCTCGAAAGCTCAAACCCTAAACCCAAACGAGCCTTCAAAACTTTCTGTCACAGACCCATGAACCCAGCGGTTGGGTACACAATGGACCCTTTGGGAAGCACTCGTAGAGACCACACGCCCTGGAGTCGAAGTGGGAGGTGTAAGTGGTTTCTGATGTAGGATTTAAGGGTTTAGGGTTCAGGGATACGAAGGGCCTTCATATCGACTTCGACAGATGCGAGGAGGATCTTTGTCATACTGCCTCCCCACAAAAGGGACACTCCTCTACTTTTCAGAAGCCCGCGAGTTTGCTTCGCTGATGACTTGAAACCCAGTTCCGCCGATTATTTCAAAGAAGACACCCTCGAACATGTGAGCATGCAGACGATGAAGTTTGAGGTGGGCTGTTCGGTTCAGGGCTTCGAGCTGGGGGGGCTTAGGGTGGTTCTGGACGTAGGCTCGGTTCGCGTCTTCGGATTTTAAGAGTCATAGAGTCGGCTTTAGAGCTCAACTGGTCGGCTTCAGGGCTTGGATCCTGTAGAATTTAGGGCTTCTAGGTTCTAGGTATCGTGCTTGCTTTCCAGCTTCTGGGTCGAGAATGTAGTGGTTTCGCCTGGTTCCAAGAAACAACACCAACCATGTGTTCCCGAAGCCATGTGCCGAGGACAGTAACGATGGCGCTCTCTTCTGGAGCGGCGTTGTGCGCAGACTGAGCCGCTTGGATCAAAAGGTAGCACAATGTTTAGGTCTTTTTGAAGGGGTTTAGGAGTTTCCTTTTGGTATATGAGCTCTTGGGGGGTCAGAGTTTAGGGGAGGGGATGGTCTGAGGTTTTGCTAGGTTTGCAAGCTATTACGTGGAGCAGCTCTGCCCCCTGTCTTGTCCACCACTGCTTTGATCAATCCATGCTGTGAAGAGTCGCTGCAGAAAGTGCGACCGATTATGACTGGTTTTCTTACTCTTTCTTTCTGACAAGGTGCTGCTGCCACGAACTCCGCCGAGCATATGCCTTCTAGACTGCCGCCCGTACTACTGCATCAACATAGTTCCGACTAACTTTTCTGCCACTACTACTACTGCTACTACTAGTACTACTACTACTACTACTACTACTACTACTACCACCACTACCACCACCCCCCCTGCCGCCGCCACCGCCACCGCCACCGCCACCCCCACCACCACCACTACCACCACCAACACCAGAGCCACCATAATAGTTTGATATGTTCCCTCTCTCTCTCTCCCCCCCTGCCTTTACATCACCCTCTGGCTGAAGCCGATCTTCGAGGTTTTGTCTTCTGTTCTCTCTCTCTCTCTCTCTCTCTCTCTCTCTCTCTCTCTCGCTCTCTCTCCAACCTTTTCCTTGTCATCTTTCTTCTTGTCGCCGAGGACCTTCCAACAACATTGATCACCAAAACTACATGGGCATGTCCACAAAAACTCAGAGCGCAGCATCCCTTCTAGCCCGATGCATTAGCCTTAGATGTACACACATGTCTACCTGTTGTACATGTCTGTCAGGAGCAAGCTGAGTCACCGACTTTTTGAAGCAGGGCTTTGACACCGGAAAAGTGTACGAGGTGGTATAACCTGCCAA